ACACTTTAATATCCAGTTTATTTGTTTCTGCTATGGAATCTCCCTTAAAGACTGTGGTATCGAGGAAGTCTATGCTTTTGTCACTCACGTTTGCGGTTAGTTTGATAGAAGGATGGTGGTTGTTGAGAATTTCAAAGAATTCCCAAAACTGTTCGATAGAATAAGTCCAAACCATAAAGATGTCATCCAAAAAGCGTCCGTAAAAAAGTGGGTCAAGTGGACAGAGGGGCAACACCTCACGTTCCCACTCTGCCATGAAAAGGTTTGCGTACGAAGGGGCGAATCGTTTGCCCATTGCTGTCCCTGAAGTTTGTAAATATGTTTTACCATTAAATGTGAAATCGTTTCGACTAAGACAAATCTCTAAAAGCTGTAGAATTGCATCGTCGGGTCTGTTTGGATCTGGGTTTCTATTAAAAGCTTTACGAACTGCCGTTAAACCAGTAGTGTTATCGATATTGGTATACATAGAAGAAACGTCGATAGAAATTAAAATAGCATTAGAGGGAACTCGAAGATTTTTTATTTTATTGACAAAATCGGTTGTGTCTTTAAGGTAGGCGCGATGTTGGCATGCTAGAGGTAGTAAGAAATGATCAATGTATTCTGACACTGCATATGACTCACTACCACAGTCAGATATAATCGGGCGGCCTTTAGGGATTTTATTCGAGATAAACCACTCCTTGGTTGGATTCTTATGGATTTTAGGCAAAGTGTACAAATGTCTCTCGCGACAATCAGGTTTGGCAGACAGATAGTCAGGTAGTTAGGGAATTTGATGCAATGCTGAAAACAGTTCTATCCCAAAAGCTTCGATTCATTTTCTGGATGGATACTTGATGTTGGTGATGGAAGTGTTTTACAATGCAGATGAAGCTAGAATGAGACTTATTCAGCATTTAACCGTGGATTAAAAAAAACTAGTACTTCAGAAAACAATGCTGTTACGTAAATTGTAAGTTATATCCATAGGATTACCTTATAAAATTCATCTGCAAAAAGAAATCAGTGATGATAAGATATTCTTTGTAGAGAATACTTCAAATGAAAAATTAGAAATAACGAATCTCCAACTTTATATACCGGTAATAACTCCATCCATAGAGGTAAACGAGAATATTTAACTTGTTGACTAAAGATATTGAAATGGCGTTTCTTTGTCGTAACACGGTAGGTAGCATGCCTTTAAATGGATAATCCACTACTTGGCCAATCACAAATACTATTAAATCAGCAAGATATTTATTTGTTGGTTTCAAGAACTTACCAGACTCTCAGACGAATAATAAGAATATCTTTAGTAGCAAAGAACCATGAGCGACATGCTATAATCCATAAAGTTCAAGATTAAAAAACCATAATTATCCTAACCAAGCCTTAACAATTAATCCATCTACCAAGGATTATAATGAATTGTATAGATACTATATGTGTGAATTATTTGAAAATCCATCTAAGTTTGAATATGTAGATTTTGCACTTAATCACCCAAATCTTCTGATTTGATTTATCAGCTCACCAAGAAGATATTTTCTAAACAGGAGTGAACATAAATATTCATATTGAAAAAACACAAGGAGATGTAACCGGTTACTGCTTTTTATTGGAAGAAGCAAAACATTCAATTACAATATCAGATAGAAGAATGATAAGAATTGAATAAAAAAAATAGGCAACCTTTTCGTATAAGCTTTCGAAAGATTAGGTCTAGAACTACCATTTCCAGTATCAAGAGTGAGAAATTCTGCATCACTGATATTATATTTATAATTGTACTGCTTTTTGTAAATCGCATCCACTTAATGTTCAGCCAATTAATTTTGTCACCAATTGTTTTCTTGGTTCGGTTTTTCATAACATGGTTTGCCAGGTCTTTCATGTCATAAAAGTTTGGATGTTGTAGATGATTGACTATGCAAGACCTTGGATTTCGTCTTGCACCCCTGATTGCAGCCACCCATTCACTTTTTTTCTTACAGATAATTTAATTGATCCCTTTTTATAGAATTCTTCATGTGTATCAAATTAAGGCAGTTTAACTGTGTTTCAACACGGTAGGGTAAAAACAGTTGAAAGTTGCTTACGTAATAATTATCAGGGTCTTTAGTCTCAGAGAATCTTGCATAACGAATAATAGCTGGTGGGGTTCTAGAACGTTTTATGACATATCCTAACTCATTTTGCAACTCAAAAGCTGGATTCTTTTCGGAATCAACATTACGATTTCTGACTTTGACATAAGTAATTGACCAAAACTTAGCTATGCACATGTCATCAAATGGCTTTCCTCTAGGTCTGTTTAAATACCGTTCAACATGTCCAACCATAAAGATGTTACTGTCTGTTAACGTACCTTCCTTTGCTCTACTCTGTAATATCTTAATCGGTAAAGTTATTTTAACATTATTTTTATCTGTTGGAATAAACTGAACACAACGTGAAAAATGCTTTAAAGGTAATCCTAAAACTCTCAGAGCACTTTCTGGACCTGATACTTCTCTGGAATGTAAATATGCAGTTGAAATTTTACGCATGCATGCCTTTGCGTCTAAATTATTTTGTTGTACTTCTCTGTAAGTTTGTCTTAAAAACAGTCCCATTTCTCTTTCTGCTTTAGTGATGTAAGAAACTATATAGTTACATATCGTCACCCTGCTATGATAATTGCCTAACTCATTATTTGGAAGAAATGTTTTTCCTTGCTCAAATCATTACCCATAGCTAAATGCATATGCTGTTAAATTGCCTAAGGTCATTGACCAATCACAACGCTAAGAAAACCCAATAATGCATATCTGCCTATGTCAGATTAGTGTTTAGGCATTTTAGCACTCACATCCAAGATGGCAGCCTCCAGACGTTCTCACATGTCAACATTAACAATGGTTGAAGCCTTAGCTATGATACACTCTTCTGAATCAAGTGGTAAGTTATTTGAAGTATTGTTTCACGAACATTAAAGTACAAGTTAAAATTGCTACTTTTATTGTACATTTAGGGATGGATTTATGAGAAATATTTTTCGGTTAAGGCTTGCCCTTTGTGTAGAAGAATGATATGATGATGTCATCCTCGATAGGCCTATGTTATTTAAGTCTAGACCTGGCTTTAAGAGTTCCGATCTTTTTGCTCGTTAATCCAGTTTACCTCAAATTATTATGTTTCCACATTATTGATATCTTCACATAATTACAATTTTGTTTAATATTTTGTTAGAAAAGCATAAATATTAGATAATTTAGATTTTTTATTTAATTAAAATGGTAATGTTAATACCTGTAATATTATAGGCCTCGACTAGCTTAGTCTGACTAAATTTTATATTTAGTTAAATTTACTGTTTATATTTTATTTTAGATATTTATTGATTTATTTATTCCAGATGAATGTGATTCAGATGAGGATAAGAATTACGTTCCAAGTGAGACGACCACAGACAGTGACGATGAAATTCCACCCCAAGCTAAGCTTGATCCAGTTGGTGTTGAGCCTATTGCAGTGGATGCTGAGCCTATTGCAGCAGATGCCGAGCCTATTGCAACAGATGCCGAGCCTATTGCAGCAGATGTCAAGCTTATTGCAGCAGATGCCGAACCTGATGCAGAAGATGCTGACCAACCAAAGATCAAGCGGCGTAAGCGTCCTGCTGTTAATGAATGGAAGTCTTCTGTTATTAAAGAGAAACACCTACATGGGGAATCATTCAAGAATCGCAAGGGTCAGGATAGACCGGCTGCAAAAATGGGTCCACCTTGCAAATCTGCATAGTGTAACAAATCAAGTCTTCGTAGTTGCCAGACGTTGAATGCTGAACAGCGGCAAAACATTTTTGACAGGTTCTGGGCGATGAAATCCTGGGAAGAGCGTCGCTTATATGTTCATAGCTTAGTTAATAAGGTAACCATTTTTTCCACTAAACAATGCATAATTACAACTCACCAATAATAAACAACCTAACAATATAATAAATTGTTTCACATTAAGTATCAATAATAATGTATACTTATTATCTATATTAATTGTATGAACAATTAGTTATTGATCATTTATTGATTTTTCAGGTAGATATAAAACAGAAGAAAAACCTAGCATCCAGGCGCAGTTCATCCTTCTCCGATCATCTGAAACTAAGTGATGCAACATCAATCCAGGTCTGCAAATACCTTTTCTGTTCAACACTTGGTCTGCCACAACGAACTGTTATGTCATGGTTAAAACAAAATAACATCAAACGTAAACAACAACCCAAGACTCCTAAAACTCGTAAGCCAAAAATATTTAACAAAAATCAAGTTAATTCTGTGAAATTGTGAGAAATTTGAAATAATTTTCCTTGCCTTAATTTAAAACATTTTTTTATTCTGTTTTTGCAGGCAAATGTGTTCCTGTGGGAGAGGCTGACCTCAATTTTTTGAAAGCTGCCGTAATAATCCTGCTTACACAAACAAGAAATTTTTGTATCCCGGCACAACAAAAGCCAAATTGTATTTGGAGTACAGCAAAACAGCAGCTGAAGGTCAAAGATTTTCAGCAGGGTTTTTGGCGAAGAAAACCTCTCAGTATTTATCCCTAGAAAGGATCAATGTGATGTATGTGTCAGTGCAAAACATGGCAACATTGACCAGGAAGTGTATGATGCACACAGAAATGCAAAGGATGAAGCCAGGGCTCAAAAATTTAAGGACAAAGGAGGAAGCTGCTTCAAATGAGAAAATATCTGTGTGGACAATGGACCTGTAGGCCGTATTGCTTTGTCCTAAGACAAAGGCAAGTACTATGTACTACAAGACAAAATTACAAGTACATAATTTTACATTATTGAACTGCGTAACAAAAGAAGGCTTTTGTTACACATGGGGCGAGACCGAGGTCTTTGCACAAATCCAGTACAAGCATTTTGCGAACGTGCTCAATACTAATCCAGCAATTGAACGTATCATAATCTGGAGTGATCGCTGTGGATATCAAAATCGTCACAAATACCCTACTACATTTAGCCACAATCCATAATGTAACAATTATGCAAAAATATCTTGTACCTGGTCACACCCAGATGGAATGTGACAGTATGCACAGCACCATAGAAAGGAAATTGAATGTTTGCGATATCATCACGCCACATGAATATGCTGTCATCTTTCAAAGTGCACGACTAAAGCCATCTCCATATACTGTCTGCCAGGTGTACCACAATGATATATTCAAATTGAATTGTAATTATGTCACAAGCATTAGACCTGGTAAGAGGGTTGATGATCCCACAGTACATGACCTCAGAGCCTTGAAGTATAATTCAGGACAGATTCATTACAAGCTAGGATTCACCGACGATTCTAATTGGGAATCTTTGCCCCAAAGAATCACCATTCCTAATGAACCTTTCGAATGGGTCCAATTCCTTGCAGCCCATCAGTTTAAGAAAATTTAAGGATTTACAAGCTATGAAACATGTTTTGCCACAATGCTCATATGCTTTTTTTGACTCCCTACCTCACCTAGAAGCATAAATATGATTGATTGCCTCATGTCACATTAGAGTATTGTCATTTGAATTGGGAAATGCCTGGACATTGAATAGCTAACCTATATTTGATGTCAGATTGAGTATACTGACAGACGGTCATTTGTACTGTCAAGTTGGTCAAGTCCGGCATATAGAGCCGAAATAACAGCCCTGAACCGTACACTTGTGTGATCTTCGAGCCTCAAATAACATCTTGACCAATTAGTTAAACGTTAATTTAGTTTTTGTTTATGTTTTTAATGTTTAATACACAATATTCCATTGTATTAATTGCCTAAGTCAAGCAATAAACTGCCTATCTCATCTGATGATGGTTGGATTTTTGCCTAAGTCACCTTCCACTATTATAAAATACCCTAACCAATTTGTGATGATTGTATTTTAATTGTTTTCATGTCTGTTGAGACTTGACAAAGAATAGTCAATAAATTTTTATTTGTTTGAATTTTAAGTAGTTTTTTGCGTAGCAGGGTGACGATATTGAATATCTAGGTTTGCATTCCAGACTTATATTCAAATGTTCATATAAAGCAGACAGTGATCTATAACATTTATCGGAAGATGTCAATTCCTTCCATATAGATTCAAGAATTGCTCTAACTGAATCATTTGATGTACTATTTACCTTACTTTTATTAGAAGCTAACATTACATTCTCTGTATCATTTTCAGCATTACCAATAGACTTGTTTTCTAAAGGACGACAAATAAATGTTTTATTAGAGGGAGGCTTTGGAAAATTAAATCGACATACTTTTTTGTTTTTCCGACAAGTTTTCGAATGTTTTGAACTGTGCTTTTGTACATTTGACACAATTTCATGTAATTCAGGATCTAAGTTTATTTATCAATAAATTCGACAACATTTTCATCCGAGTCAACATCTATTTTTGGACTGTCTAAAAGGTACACAATTCCATGGATATAAATAGCACCTCTTGTTTGGATTTCAGATCTAAAAGATAGCTTGCGATGCAAGGTAACATACGCCCACTGGCAGCTGTCAGAAATGATAAAACAGTCTTTAGTGACGAAAGTATTTATGCTAAATAATTCCACAAAATTTTTTAAAATCAATATCAATAACCCAAATACAACAAACAATTAAATCACACAGCTCTAATCAAGGGCAAAAAACAACTTTTGACGCGTGTTTACAAAGTCAAGGGCAATAACTCAAAAAATGTTCATCAAAAATATCTCTTGTTAGAACTTGTCTGAGATCTTATCAGTTCCAATGATCACACCAAGTTTCATCAAAATCGGTTGAAAACTGTAGCTTCTATTGTTCTCACAAACAAATGTTGACGCGTTTTTCATAAGTTAATGGCAATAACTCAAAAATATTTCATCGAAAATGCGTCAAGTTAGAACTTATCCGAGATCTTATCAATTTCAATGATCACACCAAGTTTCATCAGAATCGGTTGAAAACTGTAGCTTCTATTGTGCTCACGAACAAATTTTGACGCGTTTTTACTAAGTCAAGGGCAATAACTCAAAACCCGTTCATCTAAAATGCATCAAGTTAGAATTTGTCCGAGATCTTATCAATTCCAATGATCACACCAAGTTTCATCAGAATGGGTTGAAAACTGTAGCTTCAATCCTGCTCACGAACTTTTTTTTAACAAATTTCGACGCGTTTTAACAAAGTCAAGGGCAATAACTCAAAAACCGTTCTTCGAAAATGCGTCAAGTTAGAACTTGTCCGAGATCCTATCAATTCCAATGATCACACCAAGTTTCATCAGAATCGGATGAAAACTGTAGCTTCAATCGTGCTCACGAACAATTTTGAACAAATTTCAAAGCGTTCTAAGTCAAGGGCAATATCTCAAAAACTATAGAGCTATAGATGTGCCTGATAATATTTGCTGCAATTCATAAATATATTGGGCATAGAATAAATATTCTGTAAATGAAGCAAAGCGAGTATCTACAGACATTAATCTATTCTTTAGATATTTACCTAATGTTATTCTCGACTTTCAGAGAATGTATTTTTACCAGTTGGGAACAAATATGGAAGAGAGCAAGCTCCATCAGAACTCTGACAGGTCTGTTATTTTCACCTGGAGAAATAGAAAAAATCTGGTCAGAATTATTCAAAATATTTGAGAAAACATCCACAGGCTGAAGACAAGAATATCCAATTTCATCACAAGTATACCTAGCTATGTTTTTCATCTAATTCATCTAAATCACTGGTGAAATCAGTGTAGACAACGTTCGTCTGATGCAAAATAATTTTAAATGCAAAATAAACACATAGGAACGTTATGGCGGAAAGTGCGTTCCATACAGACGTGAAAACATCGGCGAAATGGGGGTTTTATACAAACATCAGAAATGTATCAAAATGTGCAAAACAGGTCAGGAACATTACGTAAACAATAAAGGAATAAGCAGAGGTCAGTTAATTATTCATTCAGGGAAGCCACAAGTCGGAAAAATAAAAACTTGGGCCTAGATATGTCACGTGACCTCAATAAACAAAGGAAACTCTCTCATAATTCAATAAAACGTATAAAAACCTATATACGTTATCCATTAAACTTATCAAATAAAATAAAATACAATTTCTTACATTGTGACCAGCCTAAGCGTGTGAAATCTTAGCAAATCTATCAAGGTTGATAAACGGAAATTGCCAACATCGTAAACAACAAGTTCGATCTGTCCACTTTACTTGCGGAGGTCAGTAATGAACACAAAACGAAACGCAAAATTACGAAATTAAGATAAAGTTACGAATATCAATAGAAATGGTGAAAATTCAAATAAAAGTTTATGATAATCAAATATTGATTCTAGTCATTTGCTAAACACTGTTCCCCGTCTGGTATCAAGCAGAAAATGTTCAAAAGTTGGAAATGAATTTAATCTGTTGGTACAAGCACAATAAGTTCACTGATGGGTCGAATGTATGTTGTCGGTTTTCCATCCTTCACTATTCGAATCTCCGTTTTTCGGACTTCAGCATCATCACTTGCGAATGTTCGAAGCACAATACCAAGCGGCCACTCGTTGCGATGCAGTGTTTTGTCTCGAAGTAAGACGACATCACCTTCCTTGACGTTAGGCTGAACGGATTGCCATTTCTTTCTTACTTGAAGGTTGTTCAGATACTCTTTACGCCAGCGGGACCAGAACATATCGGAGAGCGCAATAACACGTTTCCATTCTGCTCGGTAAAGATCCTTAGGGTCAGTTTTCTCGATAAGATCTGTACATGATGGCG